TAGCCTTTGCTGCCCACCACTGTTCACGATCGTTGCGCAGACTTTTCGTCAGTTATTTTTAAGTTGCGCTCGCTCTTCATTGTACTCAGAGCCTGCAGGGATGCATTCACGTGCATCCATTAGTTTGGAAGAAGCTGCTGATATCCACTGGCTCTTTTTAGCCATTATCTTGGAGTCGGCTACAGTCTCCAGTGCTGCTTTTACAGTAGACTGAAGATGGCACCAAGCTTCTTCTGGATGAGTGACAGTCTTTTGTTCCGATAACTGCCTAGCCAACTTCTCACTGAACACGGCTTTGGTGTTTTCGTTGTCCAGCAGAACTCGTAGTGGTTTTGTTGCCAAATTTTTTCTACGTCCATTGAGACGCAGGCATATACGTGCTCGGACCAACGCATGATCGCTGTCCAAACACGTACTCCAGAAGGAGCGGCAGTCTTCCACCGATCCTCTCCAGCGATGACTAATAGCAATGTGGTCTATCTGTGTCCATCGCTGAGTCGAGCTCGGTGGACGCCAGGTCAGACAGTGCCTTTCTTTATGTCTGAAATTTGTGCTGGCTAAAAATAGGCGGTTATCTGAGCATAGTTGTAATAGGCGATCACCGTTATCTGTACGTTCAGCTGGGATTCCGAAAGTGCCACCTAAGTGCCTTTCTGCCTCACTCAGTCTACCCACCTGTGCGTTGAGGTCACCTGCAACAACCACTACGTCCGAACGTTTGGCTTTCGAGAGGAGGTTAGACAGTTTATGGTAGAACTCGTCCTTCACTTCATCCGAACTACAGTCAGTGGGTGCGTAAGCAGAGATTACAAAGAGACAACGGCGAGTCTCACTATTCCTTTTAGTTCTCACTGTGCCGTTCAGCCTCATAGCGCAGAGGCGACTATCAACTGGGATCCAGTCTAGTAGTGAGTTTTCTGCCCTGGTGCTTAATGCTATACCTACACCTGCAAGACCACGAGAGCTAGCTATCGAATCTCCAGAAACTCGAAGGGTGAATTTTGCAGATTCACCAGATTGGTCAGGAGAGGTCAGGTGAATAACCACACTTGGGTCCTGTATGCGTGTCTCACAAACACAGCACACATCCATGCCCGAGTTGCTAGAGTCTTTGCCAACGAAGCCTGTTGGCCAATTTGACGGAGGGTGCGGACATTGAAGGCTCCAATATGTAATTTGGAGCGTGGTTTAAGGAGACCAGGGATGCTGTTCTGTGGACTCAGATCGTTGTCGAAGGCTGCAGAGGTAGGAGAAATTGAAGATGATGCAGCATCATTAATTAAGAGACGTGAAGGAAGATTAGAAGGTAATGATGGAGGAGGAGGATAGCAGTCAGAAGAAACTTGGGTGCTGACAGAGTTGTGAGGGCGGTTGACACTTCCCGGCTGCCCACACCGTGGAAGGCTATTTCTTCTTAAGGTACCTGAAAGAGATTTGTGTGACCGCAGAGCCCATCGGACATCTGCTTGAGGCCTGTCACACCCAGCCTTTTGAGTATGATTATTTTGAATTTTGTATTTTTGGGGCCGGATGAGCGAAAGGAAACGACAAGTGAACCAACACCGCCGGCCCGGCAGACCGTGGGGCGTGGTGGAGTGTGTTATTTTTGGGGCCGACCTTTTCTAACCCCCCCTTCCACTGAGAAGGCAGCATCAGCTTGGCACTGCTGGTCATCCAAGGGAAACACCTTACTGCTGTCACACCCCATCCAGCTAGCAGCAGTACGACTTCGCCCTCAGACCCCCATCATAGTGTAGCAATTTACACTATAACGGTAACTGCTTTTCGTCTAACCACTACCCAACAGACCTTTCTGGTATGGTAGGACCTCGAGGGAACAAGCGTTCCACCAGCATAGCTCGTTGGGTCATTGTGATATGCAAGCCCGACCACCACGTCAAGGTAGCAGCTATCGGCCATACATACATTTGTTTGAGCTAGAAATAATATACATCAGGATGCTGAAAACAAAATTCCTATTTAGTTTACACTTAGAGTACACACTCTTCAGCGGAAATAAAGATAGGAGTCGGGTTCAAAGAGAACTCAGTATTTCTGAAACAACGTCTACTTCCATTTTTTTTCAATATTATTTTATTATCGGTCTTATAGGTTCCTAGTCGAACATACGGCTTCAGTAGCAAGTCGCCATTTCACTCGGTTTTCTGTGATCTTTTTAACCTGGGTCAACGACTGTCCACAAGCTTTCGTTTCTTCCTCACAAGATCTCCTCCATGTCACCCTCACCTTAGACGCACAACTCGTCGACTCCCCTTTGGCTTCCACTCGAGGGCCTGGCCTGACGTGTGATGTCTCCAAATGGTCTTTTCAGTCTATGTCTAGTCCACCTCCACTATTTACTCCCATAGTGAATAGTAAAGCCAGAAAAAAAAACCTGATATTAGTTTCGACTCATGAGATCATAATGGTACTACACAGAATTCCACACTGGTTGCATACGTGCTAGTCAGTCTTTATCTATTCATCATGGACTGACATCAGTTGGGGGGAATATTGGAAACCTGGCAAAACTGGATAGCTGTCTCGTCCTACTAGTATGGAACTCTTTAACACTGCGTACCCACGATCCTGCCTCACCAGGGCTCGAAGCCAGGATCGTCAGGTTCCGTGGCCATTATGTTACCATTGAGCCACACTGTGTCGAAATCCAATTGTCCATATTTCCAACTTCTGTCAGTTCATGACGTAGCGCAACCATCACCCAATGTCATCATTGAGTATGTCTTCACAGCCACCAGGTTTGCCCCACCGGTCACGACTTTTCATTGGAACTTCGGGAATCACCTCTCGAACCTAGTCACTAATGAGCACTGGATCACTTGAACTTGGGGATTTGTGGCTCAACGGTAATGTGCTGGAGACGGAATCTGAAGGTCCTGGGGTTTTAGCCCTGGAGAGACGGAGTCATGGATGCGCGCTGCTGAGAAGTCCTATACTAGTGGGACAAGACAGCTCTCCAGTGCTCCCAGATTACCAGCGTTTTTTCAACTGATGTCAGTCGATGATGAATACCAATTTGAAAAATCACTAAATCCCCATAAACCACCAAATTCAAGTTTGACAACACCTACCTAATGCTCATAAAGCAAGATGACATCTAGGTTACATGAAACAGATGCCAGTTCAAATCCTCTTCCTACCTTTCACCATTACTTAATTTACTTTCCATAGCATCAGGGAACAGTTTTGATGCTAGGATCGGAATGTTAGGTTACAGAAGAGACAATAGATCGATACGGTTATTAACCCTAAATCTACCGAATTGATTATAATACGAGTTATGCATATCTGGTACGAAAACAATTGAAATACAACTAGCAACCATGTACACATTTTGAAATAGACAATAAGCTATACCGGCTATATACTGACTGATAATACTACCTGGTTGGATAGACCTCTATAGATGGACTAGTGTTTGAACTCATTATCCACGGGTTGGAGGTTGAGTGTCTAGACCAATGAGTGACAGCTCCTAACCCTTTAAATGGTCAGTTCATGTGGATTAATTACCCGAACAGATGTTCAGATAATCGCACCTCTATTGTTGTTATCTGGTAAGGACCCCACATTTTTTTTTGAGGAAATGAGACAGGTGATAGAAAAACCAGGCTCATATTCATTCAATCATTGATAATTCACTGACTTTCCTTCTTACTCGTGATGATCTGTAGATTATTATATAGTTGACACTTTTCATATTATTTTGAACTGGATTCATTGTGCATTACTGACAGTTTCAATTCATCATATGATACGTGATACGATAAGGTAAAATCAATGTGTCAGTCTATTTTATTGCACTTTAGTTCTAGTCTTGTGATAAGCATAAGATGAATGCAGTCAGGTTATCAATTATCTCACCCTATGAGTATGTTGCCCTCAGTCGTCATGACATAGCACACTGCATTGGATCACTTCAGCCACAACACATCATATTGTTTCCGTTTTGAAACGTCGAGTAACCATCACTGGACTACTAACCACTAATGGCAAAGGAATTCAGGATGCTCATCTCGTCCTGTTTAAGAGTCGTCAGCTGGATGTAACTGCACCTCAGTGCGGAGTGATGTTGCTCCCCCAGTGAGACTCGAACCTCGTACCCATCGCTTCTTGCACAACGGGTAGTAGTTATTACTATTTATGGATATACTTGTAATTCTACGTTGTTTTACTGCATCGAATTGTCTCTACCTCTGTTGACATATGGGGTCTTACGCGAATGCACCAAAGTGGCTATCGTTCCTTCGTGGCATAGTGGATAATGCCTTGGCGTTTGAAGTGATGCGTACGAGCTTTGAGTCTCAGTGGAAATAACATCACTCCGCACTGGGGTGCAGGTACATCTAGCTGACTCATCCTAAGTAGGACGAAATGTATGCCGTCGATTCATCTGCCAGCCATAACCAAGCAAATTACAATAATTAACAACCAGGCAATATCGAGGCATCCGCATAGAGGAGCCCATTTATGCTAATAGAGGTCGAGCAATTCGATCCAGTAAAGCAACGGAGAATTACAAGTATATCAATAGACAGAGATAAATATCCACTCAAAGCAGAACATTAGTCGACTAAGTTTTAGATAACTATCAAAATACATGTCAGGAAGTGTAGATTTTACTGGTTGATGTTCATAAGACGATGGAAAACGATGTCTAGAGAATTCAGAATGCATGCATCAAAATTGGTTATATTACCTCAGACTTATTCACGCTTTCTCATATTTATATATTACGCCGCTTTTCTATTACACTACCAGTATTTCTATCATTATTTTCAGCCCATCAACTTTCCTCCTGCCTACTTCTATTTCACTGTACTGATATGGATTGTGATAACGCGAACCAATAGATAGTTGTGTTGTGTATCTTGCCACCTTCCCATAGCCCCACACAAGTTATTCAAACTAACTAGACACTTGCATAAATAGATCCATTATCGAAAAAAAATAAAGTTGACCTTCGTTAAAGAGCTTACCTTTTCGTGAAAAATAACATGATTACAGCACAACCAAAAGAAAATAAGCAAGTAACAGAAGCGATCAGTAAAGATGCACCCAATTGTTGATTAGTGTGTATATTGAAGTATTTGCCAACAGCACGATTGAGTGGTTGCATAGACACCATGTTTACAGTAGATCCAATACGTGACATACTTAATTGAAGTCCAAATACTAAATTCAATTCATTAGATGGGAACCATTGAGTTGCATAGGTATTTTGTGCTACAGAAAGAGATTCACCTCCGATTCCATATATTAATCTTGCAAAGTACATTGTAGGAATGTTTGCATAATAAGCTCCAATGCCTAATATTATTTGACCGACAAGAACAAATAGGGAGAAGATGATACTTCCTAGTGAGATACCAAATACTCTGTCGATAAGGAAACCGCCTACAAAGCTTAATATTACATTTGGCCATGAGTAGAATGCATACAAATTCATAAATTGAACTTTTGACATTTCTAAGGAACTTAAAAAGACATCTTGAAGTGCTGAAGGATTATCATAGCAAAAATAGTTCCCGAAACATAGAAAACAAATGAAAATCAGTACAATGTAACGATGAGGACGTCTTCGTGGATCACACGCCCAGCTACCTCCACAACCTTAGAGTATAAATAATATGAAGATAATTTTTACCTGTTAGCTGCAAATTATCATTTTCAAGTCCTTGTTCCTCCATTGACTGAAATTAGTAGCCAAATATAGAACAGAATGACTGATGAAGGTTGACAACCATAAACAGCCTCGATCTAAAAGATACCAGACTGAAAATTATGAATCACTTGTAAATGTCATTGAATACAAATGGTTTGTTATAAAAATATTGGCAAGTTGGAATTGTTTATCAACAACTAAAGAATTGAACGAAGTTACAGGGTAGATATCAGTCCCCGTTCAAACTATAGATTATAGCTTTTCAAAGAACCCCATTTTAGTGATCTGCAATATCTTTCCTTCAAGGGTCATTAATCAAAGAAAGGTAACTGACACAAAACTTGATAGTACTCATATCGCTCACATTATAGTTTATTACATGAGAAAGACATTAAACAAGGTAAAAACCTAGCACATATCCAAAGCTTCACTGCCTATCCTTAAATTAGAAGTATCATCTCACATATGACAGGAGCAAAATGCATGCTAAGCTAAACATACTCAGATTTCTGCCATAGACATTCAAAGAAATTGACATTTTGTCAGCATTTCCGCCTAACATGGCACTGTCATTTGGATACTAAAGTTCACAAGGTATACTTCAGGCAACGTTTCAATTCCTGTAAATCCCAGGGTGCCTGCGGTTATGGCCACAATGAACCAATCAATATCAACATACGACTAGGCATTACTGAGTAACAGTCCGATATACCAAGCCTTATATCAGTGCAATAAGTGACAAAAAGGTGAAATGAAAGATGAAGAAAGAAGAAAAATCGGTCAAAATCAGTAAAAGAGCAGAGGGAGGAATGAGAAAAATGCTGAGTTCAGCATAGTGGTTAGGACAAAGATAGAGTGTGGATACATCTACACCGCTAACATCGATTCTGAGCCATATCACCTAGTCTCTAACCCCTGGTTTCTCTTGTCACGTGGACGCCAACCAGCTAGTTTGCATTTCTTTATATGGCTCTACTGAACAGTCAAAGATTTCATGCAGTGATGTCATGTTTTACTCTTGCTACCTTGAGCCTTTTTCCAGCCTGAACCTACTTCAGCCAACATTACGTGACGAGGCAGACGATGACTACGCATGAGTAACACATGTCTCTGAAATCTTAGTCAATGAAGGTTCACGGCATTATTGGCTGACTTTCTTCTCCCTCTTTAAATTCTACACCTGACTTCTGCGTTATACAGTGGTGACATCATGACATATGGCCTATGCAACGAAGACAACGGTGGTCATACACCTAAAGCCTTCTCGTGTCTTCTACGTTTATTAGCCATGTTTGACAACCATATAGAAGAACAGAACGAAATGCTGCACAGTACACTTGATCCTTAGTACGCAATCGGATATCACGGCAGCGCCATGGATGGCGTAAGTTAACAAAAGCCAGTCAAGAGATTTTTATCCGTTGATAGATTTCGTCGACCACTGGCAAACGTACCAAGGCTGATCTAACTTCCCAGGTAAGTGAAGTGACCACTACACTGAAACATTTCACTTCCTACTGTTGGACAAAGAACCACTAAAGACCAGTCCTGGAGCAACACATCCTGCGTTTTCGTGGCAAGAAACGTATCCTAAAGATTTTCAATTTTCCGCTCAGTATCCAAAAGACTGTATCTAGTCACCGTCTTCACCTAACAGGACTTTGTCATCTGTGTACTTTAGATCTACCAAGGATTCTCGCGTCATAAGACCAATCCCTTTGAAGTATGTCTATGATTACGTTGAATGAGAATGGAGAGGCTAAGCATTTATGGCGTACACAAATACCCATAAGCTCTAAAACACCCAGATGTGGTAAAATAAAGAACCTTCGGCAGAGTGATTCACTTATTTAGTATTTTTTTCAGTAACAGACTGCGATAAGGAATCTCGATCGACCGAGTGGAATGTTGCCTTCAGGTAGAGAAATTAAGCCAGTTTCGGCCGTCGGTAACTGTGCCTGTGTCCAACAATCTGACAGCGTGTGATTATCTGGTTCATACACACCCAGGTAGGTCTGAAGCCTTACTGGCTTTCTCGCGTTCGCTGTTCCCAATCTCTACTCAAACGTCTAGTGATTATAGGACCTATAATCTTAGACACTATGTGTCAGCCTGATTCCTCTGGGGTTATTACAGGAGGACTTCTCACGTTTCTTGAAAACTGGAAGGATAAGTGGTTGAGGCCACTCACAGGGGACTATGTCTGACTCATATACACTAATTAACACTTCAGTTAACTTGATAGAAATCAACAACTGCTGTGCTTAAATACCACTAGAAATAGTCCGTCTGGCTTTGCTGCTCTTCGTCGCTTCAAGTTACCTACAGCTTTCTTGACTTTACAAGTATTGGCGATCTTATCTCAATGTTTTATTCAGGCTTACACTGAATAACAGCAAAAAAATGGAAGCTGGTGACCAGTTGAACTATTACCCCAGGCGTTCAGTCCACCGTCTCAGTCGTCTCCCCTGTGAGTGAATAGCGGACCCATCCTTCTCCTCAATCATCTCAGTGACCACTGACCTTTCGCTCCAGTTTCCTGAGTAAGTCCAAACAAGTGTTAACTGTTACCAATCGCCACTGCTATTTCCACCTCTTTAACCTTTGTTACCAACTATTGTTCGTCCTTATTGCGTATACTTTTTGTCAGTTTACATTTGAGTTGCGCTTGCTCCTCATTGTATTCGGAGCCCGCAGATATGTGTTCGCTTGCATCCATTAATTCATAAGAACCTGTAGAGATCTACTGGCTCTTTATAACCACTTTCTGAGAGTTGGTTACAGTCTTCATCGCTAATTATGTAGAAGACCAGAGATGGCGTCAAGCTATTCTGGATGAGTGGTATTCCTGCATTGTAATAAATATAGAACCAGTTACTTACTAAAAACGGCCTTAGTGCTTTTGCCTAGCTGTACTCGCAATGGTCTTTTTGCTGTAGTTTTTCTACATCCATTTAAATGTAAACAAATATGTACTCGAACTGACACGCGGTCGCTGTCCAAACGCATGCTTCAGAAGGACCGATAGTCTTCCGCCGACCCTCTCCAGAAACGACCATTAGCAATGTGGTCTGTGTTCATTGCTGAGTTGGGCTTGGTGGACACCACGTCAGACAATGTCTGTTTTTATGTCTGAAGTTTGCTCTAGCTAGGAATAACTGGTTGTCTGAACACAGTTGTAGTAGGCGATCACTGTTGTTTGTTTAGCCGAGAATCTCAAAGTGCCACCTAAGTGTATTTTTCCTGACTTAGTCTGCCTCCTTTTGCATTGAAATCACCTGTAACAACTGCATCCCAGCACTTGGCTTTTAGTAGGATGCTTGACAGTCCCTTCACTTCACCCAAAATGCAGTCAATGGTTGCGCAAGCAGAGATTACAAAGTGACAACGTTGAGTTTTACTATCCTTCTTGTTCTCACTGTGCTGTTCACTCAAACAGCCAACAGGCAACTGTCAGCTGGGATCCAGACGAATAGTGAGTTTTCTGCCTTAGTGCTCAATGCTATACCTACACCTACAAGACCACGAGAACCTACCAGTGAATATCCAGAGACTCGAAGAGTAAAATTTGCGGATTTATCATATTAGTCAATAAGGATGACTGAATAACCACATTTGGGTCTTCTATACTTGTCTCACAAACACAGCAGACATCCGTAGTCCAAGTTGGTCGTTCTAACCCCAGAGAGAGAGAGCTTATACCGCCGGTACCGGAAGGGGCAGGAAGGAGCATGCTACTTCTGAGGCCGACCTTCCCTAATTCCCCTTTCCCATAGGGAAAGCATCATAAGCACGGTACCCCTGGTCATCCAAAGGAAATACCTTACTGCTGTCACATCCCATTCAACCAGCAGTACAACTTAGCCCTCGGACCCCCCCCCCCCAACATAGTGTAGCAATTTACACTACAACAATAAATGCTTTCCGTCTTACCACTATTCAAAAACCTTTCTAGCACAGTAGGATCTCGAGGGAACAAAGTTTCCAGTTATTGTAGCTCATTGGGTCATGGAGATATACAAGCCCGACCACCACGTCAAGACAGCAGCTATCAGCAGGATCACAATGAAGTTAAACCGAGACGGTGATAGCAGATATCCCTGGCGGATACCACTAGTTGTCGTCACTTCACATTCAAGTCCTTACACAGCTTGATGAGTTTGACTAGAGAGCTTTCACTAGTGTCCACATACTCGATGTTTACTTCGCACTCAGATATTGCCACATCACTCGGTCGAGAGTCAAATATCATCTCCAAATCAAGAAATATGGCAAGTGTTCACCACTAGTACGTATGACTATGTTCTAAAGATTGAAGAGTGGTGGTGTGATCGATTAACCCTCGTCCAGCCCTCAAACCTGACTATTGTATCCATCTGGCTAGTCTCTAGCCCTAGTTACGTGTCTGATAACTAAGAACCCTAGAACCTTGGACACCATGTTAGCAAAGCTATCGCTCCTATGGTAGTCATAAGAACTTCTCTTCTTTCATTTACACTGGAATGATCAATGAATTAGACCAATATGACAGGAATAACTCTCAATCCCACAAACTACGTAGTATCTCCGTTACCGTACTCAGGAATCTTCTAAAAACGTCTCTAAGGCCTTCTGGTCGCGAAACCCCAGGTCCTGCCGGTTTGCATCGTTTTAGATTAGAAACAGACTTCTCAACTTCGGTGTATTAGAGGACTGACGTCGATGTCCTATTCAATTTCCGACTGGATGATGGGCAACTGAAGCGTCGCCGTAGGCTAAACTGTTTTTCGAAGTGTTCTGTTTGAAGTTTTAGAGGCGTCCTGAGAGGTCATCCTTTTCGGTGACGGTCTCACTCACCACCATCTTCTTGCCAAGATCCCTATAAGCCTACCTAACTGCTGAGTACTGGCAAAGGTTGATGCCTTCTTTATCCTTTATTACTCAGGGATGATGCATTTCAACAACACTAAGAAAAAGGAATCGCGTATAATCATTCTTTAATCGTAAATCAGAACATATCAAAAACAAATGAAACGTGATAGCAGGCTTTCATCGTTTTTTCTATAGACCACCCATCAGATAATCAGCAATCAACACAATTTTAAGACACGTGGAT